CATCATCGTCATCAGAATATAGATAGATATTCGATATCGATATATATCGTGTTTTACTTCACTGCTCCTAACAATAATTATTTTCTGTGTTTTAAGCCTAGTACTGTCATATATTCTTCTAGCAGCCAGTGGTGTGACCAGAAGTGTGCACTGCATTCCGTACGGTTACACTGCTCAGACAGCTGCTTGGTTTTGATTAAAGTTAATAAAATGCACTTCTTCGGCTGGTGTCGCTCTTCCCCAGGCATATCGTGGGCACCCCAATATTTTATTAGCAAGGTAATGTGTCTGACTATGGCGACGACTCCCGTGCGAACCACCGTGAAGAAAAAATGTTTTGAAAACAATATTTGTTTTATATTTATGAAAATATAATTTTCTAATATATACCGACCTTGTTTTTGTTGATCTGAGTTACTAATCATACAGTATATAGATGCGCCAGTTCATACACCGAACGTGTCGCAGCTGAGTTTTCTGTCCCAGGTCTTCGGCTGTTGGACCTGAGATGTTCGGCTGCTGGACTTGAGACGTTCGAGTCGTGGACCTGAGACGTTCGGGTGTGGACCTGAGACGTTCGGCATTTTTTCGACATGTTCGATTCATGACGATATGGGAAAGCAAGCCGAGAATCGCAAATGTATGTTTACACAGACACGACACAATATTTATAAATTCTTATTTTCCGAAACTGTTTTGAGTTTGTTTTGAGTTTCGTTTCCAGGTTACGTAAATGTGTGTGTGCCATGTATTCACACATACTGTGCTTGTGTGTGGGCTCTAAAATGTTTGGCAGTTTTTGTTTTGAGGGCTGATGTAGCGACCTGATCTGACCTGCCGCAACATAAATGAGGAATGGGCAGAGTGGGTGGGGGTGGGAAATAAATACAATATATTAAAATAAAAGATGTTAATTCTTTGATTTGCCCACTGCCCACTGTACTAAATTGTCATTTACCTACAAACTCATGCACGCATTCATGCTCCCTCACGGCAGCAGCCTATGCAGCCGTTCTCTTTCGCCTCTTCATCCCGCGCCTTTCTTTCTTTCCTTTGCTTTGCTATCACTCTCTCGATCTGTCGCTCTCTCGCTCGCATTAGGGCACGGGCAATTCGGCCCGCCTGCCCTTTGAGTTAGTCTTGATCTTGCAATCACTGCGCATCGTCTTGGAATCGAGCTATTCAATCCGACACCGTCTTGAACCGACCCCCACGTCTTCAATCTGACCCCGTCTTGAATCCAGCTAACTATCCTTTCAACTCTGTATCGCTTATTTACTTCACCACAATAAACTGTGAATATAAATATTGAACAATCATCGCCTTTTTAAAAATATCGCAATACAACGCTACTGAAGAAGCTCAGTAGCTCAACATATATATTAATACATATATTTAAAGAATTGGTATATGTATATACATCAATTATTTATTGGCTTTATTTACATATTCAGTATACCTTAATTATGTACATAAATATGTATTGCAATAGGTATATGTAAATACATATATAAAAATATTTTGGTTCATATCACTTGTTTTATAGAATCTGAAAAATATAAATCTATTGACAAAGTTGATATTACGACAGAAACGAAGTCGAAACCCGACGGCATTTGCACAATATTTTTGTACGTAAGTTACAATCAATGTACATAATATGTACTACATATGTATATGATAAATAATTGATTTAAGGTAAAAGATCTACATACGTCTACGTCTCAGGTCCACGACCCGAACGACTCAGGTCCAGCAGCCGAACGTTTTAGGTCCAACAGCCGAAGACCTGGGGACCTGGGACAGAAAACACAGCTGCGACACGTTTGGTGTATGAACTGGCCACATCTATATACTGTATGGTTAGTGTCTGAGTACTGCCTTCCGTACAGACCCTAGAAAACAGTTTTGGGCCTAAAGCCTAGTACTCAGATCGAAAAAAACACCTAGCGAACAGAATCAGTGTTGATATTCGTATGAAACCGATAAGAAATGTTTTACGGCAAAAAATGTTTTCTAGGCTCTGTACGGAAGGCAGTACCACTAACCATACAGTATATAGATGTGCCAGTTCATACATCGAAAGGGGCGCAAGCTGAGTGTTCTGTCCCGGCTCCCAGCGCTTCGGCTCTGTGAGGCTGAGCCACTCGGGTCGGGAGCCAGGCCATTCGGGTCGGGAGCTGGGCCGTTCGGCATGTATGACTCATGTCGGGAAGCGAAAGCAAGCTGAGAATTGCAAATGTATGTGCGTAAACAGACACGACAAAATTTTGTATCAATTCTTATTTTCCGAAACCGTTTTGAGTTTGTTTTGAGTTTCGTTTCCAGGTTACGTAAATGTGTGTGTGCCATGTATTCACACATACTGTGCTTGTGTACGGGCTCTACAATTGTTGGCGCTTGAATTGGTTTTTCGTTTTGTTTTGAGGGCTGATGTGATGTAGCGACCTATTCAGGGCCGGATCAACCCTCAACCGGGCCCTGGGCAACCATCAATCTGGGGCCCTCCTTTATTTTGTATTGTTAATCAGTGGCCGTTATATTTTTTATTCATTATTTGGAGTTTTGTTTTTTCAACAAAATTTTTCTGTTAGCCCTAGGGGGGCCCTAGGCAACTGCTAATCCGGCCCTGGACCTATTCCCGTCGTAAGACTTCATATTTTCTTGGTGTGTTCTGTCGCTCGACTCGACGCGGGTCGGGTCGAGGCATCGACGAAGCCGAAAGCAGAGGCAAAGGCTAGCCTAAAAGAGAATGGAAGAAATACCCCGCGCGCCCGACGCAACAACAGCTTTTCAAAACAAAACGAAAAAATATTTTATGAACGGCTTTGTCAATGCCTCGACCCGACCCGCGTCGAGTCGAGCGACAGAACACACCAAGAAAATATGAAGTCTTACGACGGGAATAGGTCGCGGATTAGGTGGGGCCCCCGTTTGTTGAAAAAACTCCAAAAATGAATACAAATATAATGGCATAGGGCTTGATCCGGCCCGGGCGCTACACCCGCCCGGCGCCGCCCGACGGGGGCCGCGGCGCGGGGCGGCGCGCGGGCGCCCGCGGCCCGCGGGGGGGCAGTACTCAGATAAAAAAACAAAACGGTCGGTATATACTGGAAAAGTATCAGAAGTATTTGCTTGTTTTTTTGGTATGTTTCGACCCACCTCGAAAAAGATATCAATTTAATATATTTTGCCAGCAAACACGAAGCAAACATTGCAATAAGAGTACACAAAACCAAATGAAATATTTTAATAATGAAGACAAATAGAATCTAATCTAATCTATGAATGACAATTATATAGATATTATAGTTGATTATTTTTATTAAGTTTCATAAATATAAAACAAATATTGTTTTCAAAACATTTTTATTCACGGTGTCCGGGACGGGAGGCGTCGCCATCTGCTGCTGCTGATAGTCAGACACATTACCTTGCTAATAAAATATTGGGGAGCCCAGGATATGCCTGGGGAAGAGCGACACCAGCCAAAGAAATGCATTTTATTAACTTTAATCAAAACCAAGCAGCGGCCTGAGCAGTGTAACCGTTCGGAATGCAGTGCACACCTCTGGACACACCACTGGTCGCTCGAAAAATATATGACATCTGTTTGCTAGCAAACAGTTTTTCGATCTGAGTACTAGGCTTAAACAAATTCTTATCGGTTTCATACGAATATCAACCCTGATTGTGTTCGCGAGGTGTTTTTCGGATCTGAGTTCTAGACTTTAAAAACATTGCTCCTTTTGATTTACATCGACTGTTCTTCAGTTTCTCGATAGTTTCTTCAACTAAATAACCATCGATATTAATTCTAGGGTTTTTAGTAACACTAACGAAAAGCACATTGGTTAACTTAACCACTGCAGATATGTCCAGTCCTTACTTTAATGAATATGAAAATTTAGAGGCAAGTTGATTTATTCGTTTGTTTATATAAATAAAAGGGCCAAGCCAGTAAATGATAAAATTTTATTTTTAGGTCCATGAGTTAATGTTAAAAGATCGGCCCCGTCAGATAGCATACTGCAATGCCATTTTGGCCAACAAAGACAAATTTAAAGATAAAGTTGTATTAGATGTTGGTGCTGGCACTGGGATTCTTTCAGCTTTCTGTGCAAAAGCAGGAGCCCGGTTAGTTTATGCCGTAGAAGCGTCCAACGTAGCTACAAAAGTCGCTTTGGATCTAATGGAAGATAATGGTTTAACAAGCATTGTTAAAGTTATTCACTCTAGAGTAGAAGAATTTGTCCTTCCTGTTTCATCTGAAAAAGTGGATATAATTGTTTCCGAGTGGATGGGCTTTTATTTACTCCATGAAGGTATGCTCGGGTCAGTTCTTCAAGCTAGGGACAAATTTTTGAAAGAAGGTGGACTAATGTTTCCCTCTGAGTGTACTATTTTTGTGGCACCTTGCTCTGTTCCATCTTTGTTTGATTATTGGCAGAATATTGATGGTATAAAAATGGACAGTTTTGCTACAAAGCTGAGAGCGCAAAAATCGACTAGGCCAGAGATTACACAATTGGATCCTAAAAATTTGCTTCACGAGGGTGTTGTGCTTCATTGGATGAATTTGGTCGATGTCGATATGGCTGAACTTGAAGAAATTCGTTTTAAGGATGTCGTTGCGGCACAAAGAGCTGGAAATCATCAAGGATTTTGCATATGGTTTGAGGTGCTGTTTCCAGGCGACGATGGCGTGATTCTTAGCACATCTCCTTTCGCCACGGAAACACATTGGAAGCAGTGTGTAGTTGTTCTACCACAAGATTCTTGCGAAACTCTTGATGAAAAAGCACCAATAGCATTTGAAATTTCCATCATGCGCAGCGCAAGCGATATGCGGAAGTACAATTTGGAAGTCGAGCTTCTCGATCCGAACATCGAAGAACACCCTGTGCCGTGTACCTGCCACATGACTAAATGTATTCTAACTGAAGCGCACTTAAAAACTATGAATACATCGTGAAATTATGATCGTTCTGCGAAACTAATAAAGAGTAAACAAATTTATTTATCACTTTTAATACAAATACAAGATATATCTCAGTCAAACTTAAAATCTATGAAATTTTTTCTTAATTTTGCTCTTATCTTATATTCTAGCATTAACCCAACAGACGTTGCAATCTGCATTGTAGCTCTTTAAGACACTGCTGTAATCGATTTGTGTCTGGCTTTTGATAACATATATTCAAGCAGGCAGCCACTATGTCCTGAGCCTTCCCAATAATTCGTCTCCTGTGGAGTATATAAAATTTGGTATATAAATTTAAAATTTTCAAAAAAATTTTATTTGCAAATCAAACATACTTTGAGCGGTACCAAATGGCATGCGCGTTGTCCGCAAGTAGAGACACCACACGAATGGCGGATTGTATTAAGTGCCACTCGTTGCCTTCATTTGCCCAGACACGTTCATTCATTGAAATCATTCTGAAAAAAAATTATAAACGATTAATAAAACAACCTTTTGACTCTACTGCGCGCATAAAATAATATATCATTATACCTTGAGTAGTATTCAAGAAGAAGCTCATGGTCTAGGTTCATGGTTACGAGTTTTTCTGGGACCGTTCCTTCGGGCATTCGCAGCTGACAAGCTCTAATTTCCAGTTCCCTTATCAAAAACGCGAATGGGAAGCAAGCACCCGATTCACTATATTCTCGTACTAATAATTCGATTTTGCTGAACAACCGGTTGGTGCGGTCCTGATTCGAACCTGAGTCTTCTACTAAGCTGCTGATTATGTTACCCCACACCGACTCTATAAGCAAGGGATCGTTGTGATGGGAGCAATTAAGTATTGACAATTGGCACTCCCAAAGATTAAAGGGCTCAGCAAAATGCTGGTATAATTGTGTGATATCGTATAGCGCGTAATTTAATTCCTTAACGGCCGTTGTGGCGTCTGGCTTTTCTTGCGCCAACGCAGTCATATCAACAAGCACCGCTTTTTGAACTCGAGCTATTTCCAGCTGAAATTTGAAAATCAAACAACATAATTCAAGATCAATTTTAGGTCTTTTGCACAGATATTAACGTTACCTTGTCTTCTAGTTCCTTTAAGAATATCCCATTGGTTACAGATGAGCCAACGTTCCCATTGCGCATACACATGACAGCCCGCACCAAATACTCAATGCGTTGTTCCAGAGTTATATTTTCACTGCGTGTCATTGCCAAATTATCTAAAATTTGTGCTGCCTGGGAATGATATCCATTCTTCTCATAGTACTTCCAAAGCAAATCAATTAAAATAACATTATCCGGGTTACGTGTTACACTTCGCCGCAAAAACTCTCCCAAAGTTGGCTCAACCACTTCCAAAAGTTCAGTAAGCATGTCATGAGCAAGCAACCATTCGTAAAGAGTCACATGGACTAAAGGGTCTTTTATTTGGAGAGTCTGTGCAGCAATTTTGGAAATTGATGGCTTCGATTTACTATCAGCATTACAGCTTTCCCCAGGATCTGCACTAGATCCGGAATTATTACAGAGATAATATGGTAGAGTTTGATCCTGAATAGATATATTATCGCAGGCCGCCAGGTAGACGTGATCTAGCATAAGTTGCACCTCTTTGTAATAGTTCATCCTGCAAAAATAACTTTCTGTTGGATATCCACATCTCATAAACTTTAAATTTACTTACCGCGTGACAAAACAGGTATACCCTTCACGGTCTTCAGATGGCTCGTCGTTGTTATAGAAGTGAACACCAACTTCTTCAGGATCGCTCTTTGCTGCACAGATGGCTGCCAGTTCAACTACGCCTTCGAAAAAGTCGACGGAAATAAAAAGTTGACAAATGCTATGCAACGGTAACGTGGGTGCCGCTTCCTTGCACATTTGCAACGTCGTTCTCAGCTTTTGCTCCTTCTCCACAGGAGAAGTGCAGTTTTTAGCACTCATTAGAAGCTCAGTGGCCTTGTATGTGACAGCATCCTCATGCCTATAGAGATTCGGGCATAGCTCTCGTAAATTTTTTGATACTTCCGACACACCAGTTTTATCCTTGAGGTACAGATTAATAAGCGAAATTATTAAAAATGCGCACACCTCGGATCGTTTAAGCATCAAGTCTCGAAAAGTACAGCATCTCAACATCTTCTGGTGCTCGGGACTAAGCTGGAGACAAAGGTGTTGAAAGGAATGCGAATTCAGAATGCTCCACAGGGATATGACCTCACAGGCGTGCTCTAGTAAAAAGTTATAATTAGTGGACTCCGTAATTTTTGCGATTAAATGGAACATTAAATCTACACTTACTGACAAAAAGGTTCAAAGCTGAAAGCGACCGTTTTTCCTCAACCTGAGCCTGCTCCGTCATGTTCCGTTGGTCGGACATGGGCAAATGACTATTGGACATCATTATTGTAGTGTATCCATTCGTTCTGTCAAATTGACTTTCGAAAGGCACTCGGGTAGAGGCTACAAAAATTGAACAGTTTAAATTACTTAGTTGGCCATTGTGATTGACTACGGATTACATATTATTTTTTTATGAATTGATTGTGGACAATGAACTTCATAGAAAATATAAATACGAAAGTTGATTGTGAGCAAAGAACTTCACGGAAAATATAAATACAAAATTATGTCTGTTTGTGAGCTACTTACAGGAAATATCATGCACAGAATGGACTTCCAGAAAACTACGCAATGAACGTAGATCGGACAATAAAGAAGCACAATCGCTTCGACCCAATTTGGTACAGAAATTTACATCGACACAATGCAATTGCCAAATAGATCGCAACATCCGCGAGACATATAGATATAGCCCGTCATGTTTTGACGAAAATACTATTCCTGCATTTTCATGACTAAGTGCCTGGGACGACTGCAGCATTCCAGCTGAAAATTGTTATTAATTTGTAATTAGTTACTACCTTTTACCTTTTTGTAGAGTGTACGTACGTTGACTAGTAGGCTGGCTGCATTGAAATATAGAGTTTTGCGTTGAAGAGAAAGTTGATTTATTTGGCATTGGTGTCGACATGAACATGGGCAGCCGCTCTGTTACTATCGCTGCATTCGAAGCCAATGTTTGATTGGGTATGGTACGATTATTAGCATTCATAAACTTTTGATTTTGAAAACATGGTTCCCCGCCATACAGCATAAAAGCCTGGGTGGCCCACAGCGCTATGTCGCCACCACGATATTTTTCAGAAGTAGCCAACAATAAACACGTAGCGCAGGCCTCACGTTTATTTTGAGATTGGAAAAACATTTTAACTTCCTCATGATGGGGGCCATTGCACGCTAGCAAGATCTGAAGCAGTATGTCTGGCGATTTTAGCAACTCTATAATATGAGTGCCTTGGTTTGTTAGCAAAGCGACTCGTCGCGGGTTACGTGCCTTGTATAAAGGTGAATTAAGGAGAGGCCTTGAGGGATCATGTACCTCAGCTAAGTCCCAAACAATGCCATCCAAGCTTTCCAGGGCTGTTGATTCCACGAGATACGTATGATTAACGGACGGAACAGAGCTAACCGACCACAATAGGTCCTGATCTTGCTGTTGCGTCGTAATCATTAACATTGTATCCTCCGAGTAGTGTGCTGCATGTACCTCCTTAGGTTTATTAGTGGTTGCATTAGGTGTGTACCCCGGGGGAAGTCGAACATGCAGTAAATAGAGTCCCCTTGGGGCGATCGATTCCGCCGATGTTGTCTGACTACTGCTGAAATATTCGGTTTGCGGGCAGGGTGTTGCTGCGCTAGAAGACTGTTGCATATTCAGCGATGTGGTGGAGAAATACAGACGCACGCCGCACTGCGTAACAGCGACAAGGTGCATCTTGTTTGATTCATCTTCGATAAGGGGACATATCGCTTTTACAGATTTAAAAATAGATGGGTCAACAGTCCTAAAAATAATATGATTCAGATATCTGTACACAAAAACAACATAAATCGAACATACGTAATCAAACTAACTGCTTTGTTAGTAATATCATTTTGGGTGATCTTAGACATCCTTCGCACATTTGCATAATTCGATCCGATATCCCAAGCCTCAATAGATCCATGCTCCGTTAGAATATATAACAGTCTGCGACCATTGTCGATTGCTATTCGCTGGATGGGATCAACTTCCTACATAGTAATAAGAAATTAATCAATTGAGCATTTACATTTGTTCCAGCTTTATGTTCATACCGAAAACACTTTGAGAAAACTGGGGACCATGTAGGAAACCAGATTTTGGGAGAGGTTCATCTTCTTGCATCGTTTTCCAAACCAGCTAGATTCAGCCTGATAGAACACCTCATATAAACAACCATCACGACCGCCTAAAAAAATGCGTCCATCGTCAGTTCCTTTTATGACGCTGATTGATACATTGTCAGTTCCAATCACGAATATTGGCCTGTTCATTAGTTGCATTTCATTGTACGAATTCTCTCCAAATGTGACACCCAACACAATTACCTCTATAGGTGTCGTCAGAACTAAGAGATACATAACATCTTTCACAAAGACGTCAGGCTTTGGTTTTACCAATCCAACGCTCACAATCAAATGGCTTAACCCATCATAATATGCAACATCGCGCGCTTGATTATATGTCCATATGTAAATCTCAGAATCAATGGTTAGCCAGGCGCGACCAATTTCAGGAAACAAGCCCATGTTGCAATGACATTTTACATCTGCGTGTTATATTTTTAATTTTATACCAGCTATCAATGTGAATAATGCCGCACTATACATACGCTTAAAGTGTTCCAGAATTTCATTTGGTATTGCAGATTTTGTGACAGTTCGAAGTTGTTTTAGGTTATGTGCATCATCAGATTTTAAGTATACAAGGCTTTGGTAATCGTAATCATTTAGGCCACTCATCGTGGCTCTGCCATGCTGGCTGACACCTGTTAACTAAAAAAAGAAGCTTTACAAAATTTTGAAAGCGATGTAACACCCTCGAACTCACTTCCAATAGACCAGGCTTTTGTCTGTCTAGATTATCGTGCCACTCCAGCATATTTCCAGCAGTTGATAAAAAATCGAATTGCCCTGGCGTAGCTGTCATTTTGTAAATATGTATGTATAGAGCACAATCCAAACTACACTGCTATGCGCGCAGCAACAAAAATATATTAGAAAGACGGTTAAACCAAAACGTGAGAAGTAAAACCGGCTGTAATACCAACGCCACTAAAAACAGATCCCGCCTTTTCTTAGCGATGATAGTTCGGTTGTTTATAAATACATACATCGAAAGTAACATAATCGTTTGTTTCCACTTCCGAAAATATGTCATTCCTCATGGCCAATCGATAAAATTATATGAATAAATACGCGTTAAATGTGCTACAGAAGAAACCAAACCTAAAAATACTTCCAGGCAGATTCTGTTGTTATTATAGAAAAAAAATTATCAATATGTAAGTAATATTTTTTTTAACCAAACATGATATTTTTGTATGTTTGGTGCTCATGTAAGTATATATTTTGTTGCCCAATATAGTGACAAACTTACTGATAGATCAACGCACAACGGGGCCTACATATGCCCAAAAACTTTGAATAAATTAGCATATCAGCGTGCTCATGCACGCAATGCCAAAAATTGATCAGACTGCCAAGTCCAGCCATGTGCGAGTTAGAGAAAGAAAAACAGTCACAGCAAATAAATTATCGGGCTAAATGTGACTGCTGTAGTAATAACTACTTCTAAAAACATTACACCACTAACCATACAGTATATAGATGTGCCAGTTCATACATCGAAAGGGGCGCAAGCTGAGTGTTCTGTCCCGGCTCCCAGCGCTTCGGCTCTGTGAGGCTGAGACACTCGGGTCGGGAGCTGGGCCGTTCGGCATGTATGACTCATGTCGGGAAGCGAAAGCAAGCTGGGAATTGCAACAGTATGTGTGTAAACAGACACGACAAAATTTTGTATCAATTCTTATTTTCCGAAACCGTTTTGAGTTGGTTTTGAGTTTCGTTTCCAGGTTACGTAAATGTGTGTGTGCCATGTATTCACACATACTGTGCTTGTGTGTGGGCTCTACAATTGTTTGCCGCTTGAATTGGTTTTTCGTTTTGTTTTGAGGGCTGATGTGATGTAGCGACCTATTCAGGGCCGGATCAACCCTCAACCGGGCCCTGGGCAACCATCAATCTGGGGCCCTCCTTTATTTTGTATTTTTCTCAGTGGCTATTATATTTTCTATTCATTATTTGGAGTTTTGTTTTTCAACAAAATTTTTCTGTTATTTATAGGAGGGCCCTAAGCAACTGCTAATCCGGCCCTGGACCTATTCCCGTCGTAAGACTTCATATTTTCTTGGTGTGTTCTGTCGCTCGACTCGACTCGACGCGGGTCGAGCCGAAAGCAGAGGCAAAGGCTAGCCTAAAAGATAATGGAAGAAATACCCCGCGCGCCCGTCGCAACAACAGCCAATATAGTAATTAGTAATGATTGTTGTTGCTATTCAGAGCGACAGAACACACCAAGAAAATATGAAGTCTTACGACGGGAATAGGTCCAGGGCCGGATTAGCAGTTGCCTAGGGCCCTCCTATAAATAAGAGAAAAATTTTGTTGAAAAACAAAACTCCAAATAATGAATAGAAAATATAATAGCCACTGAGAAAAATACAAAATAAAGGAGGGCCCCAGATTGATGGTTGCCCAGGGCCCGGTTGAGGGTTGATCCGGCCCTGAATAGGTCGCTACATCACATCAGCCCTCAAAACAAAACGAAAAACCAATTCAAGCGGCAAACAATTGTAGAGCCCACACACAAGCACAGTATGTGTGAATACATGGCACACACACATTTACGTAACCTGGAAACGAAACTCAAAACCAACTCAAAACGGTTTCGGAAAATAAGAATTGATACAAAATTTTGTCGTGTCTGTTTACACACATACTGTTGCAATTCCCAGCTTGCTTTCGCTTCCCGACATGAGTCATACATGCCGAACGGCCCAGCTCCCGACCCGAATGGCCTGGCTCCCGACCCGAGTGTCTCAGCCTCACAGAGCCGAAGCGCTGGGAGCCGGGACAGAACACTCAGCTTGCGCCCCTTTCGATGTATGAACTGGCACATCTATATACTGTATGGTTAGTGATTACACGGATGTGCGCATCGGAGCTACTAATTGGAGTTTCACATTTGTCAAAAATTCCCACCGTTCCCCCGGATAGGGGTGTGCAAACGCTAAAAGTTATTTTTTCTTGGTATATTTTGAAAATGAGAAGGTATATTTCTGAGGGTCAGTATATTTTATCGATAAATCCGCGGTCACACTTCTCCCTTTCTTTTTCAGCCTTTTTCCGGTCGGTTTACGGAGCGTAAGTTGCAGAATCTTTGTATTAAGAAATGTTCAAACATCAACTTAAATGTTATTGTTTAATGTCTATTGAATATGTTACGTGACAGTTCAGACATTAGGCTTGTGGTATTTTTGTATATTTACCTCTATATGCCTATACATGATTGACTGTATTTGAAAGAATGAAGGAGAATTACAAACAAATATGTGCATACAAAAATCTTTCGTAGCTGAATATACATACATATATACATATTTAAATGGGACAGAAAAAGCTATACTCATTTATATTTACATTAATAGATTTTGTGTACTAATGGATATTTTTTATCTGTGGATTTAGTGCCATCAAAATGCGGACGATCAACTCGAACCAGTGCGTGAAAATCCCTAAGGACATTAAGGCCTCGGTGAAGGCTCGAGTGGTAACTATTGTTGGTACTCGGGGCACTCTGAAACGTAGCTTCAAGCATTTGGCTCTGGACATGTACATGTCCGACAAACGTACGTTGAAAGTAGAGAAGTGGTTTGGCACAAAGAAGGAGCTTGCGGCCGTACGTACCGTTTGCAGTCATATTGAGAATATGATTAAAGGTAAGAAAATAGCAAGACAACATCTTCTCGTTTTTGATGCTTATTTTTCTGTTAATACAGGAGTTACGTTTGGCTTTCAATACAAGATGCGTGCTGTGTATGCACATTTCCCAATTAACTGTGTCACTTCCGAAAACAACTCGGTTATCGAAATCAGGAATTTTTTGGGTGAAAAGTACATTCGCCGTGTAGAAATGGCACCTGGTGTGACTGTCGTCAACTCCACAGCCCAAAAAGACGAGCTTATCGTTGAGGGTAATGATATAGAGTCTGTATCTGGATCAGCAGCGCTCATTCAACAATCGACCACCGTCAAAAACAAGGATATTCGTAAATTCCTTGACGGTCTTTATGTTTCTGAGAAGACGACCGTTGTAAAGGTGGAATCTTAGACAATAGACATTATATTGTGTTTCAACCTGAAATGTTAATAAAAGATCTAATGGCCGAAACTCAATGCGGATGAAAAAACGTCGTATACTTGATAGTAATATTTACATATAATTTAAAAGTATATTTTAAATTTTTGGTCCAATGAGACTGTTTTTATCGCAATATGTATGTTTTTACAGATTTTAAGTTCACGTATGAACGCAGTGTTCGTAATATATAATATGTGATGTAATTTTTTTTTAACTATACATATAGACGAACACTGTTTAAAAACTTAACGGGTAAATCGATCGGTGGGACAACTGTTGAATATTGCTATTATTTAAATGCCCTACCACTTGTGTTTCTGGAAACCTAAATAAGTCCCTGGAGAACATCATTCAAATGGTTAGTCCAAACTTATCCCATCCTGACGTAGGAACACAAATTGATTCGGAAAAGAAAACCCAAAACGAAAATTTGTTGTTTTTTTTTTAAGTTAAATTATGGAAAATTGACCAACAGAGACAAGATTGATCCATATCTGTAGCAAACAAATTGGGTGGATTATCCCTAAAGGAGCCTTATGGTATTGTTACTGATGTCAAAGAATCATTACAAAATCATTATTTACAGCCAACGATTTTGAAAATGGTGGTGGGGGAGGGGAATCACATAAAATCACAAAAATTTCCAATGTATGTATGTTCAATTAAAATTTTAGTTTCTTACTAAAAAGTATGCTATATGGTGGTAGCTATAGTAAAGTTCATTCCTTGACTTCGAGTCCTGTCTGTATACAAAGAGAACCAAATCGAAGAAAACTCTACAGACGCCTCTACAAGTACATCGTCACATCAATTCCACCATTCCACACTTGAGCTACTGAGCTTTTTCAGTAGCTGTTGTAGTTTTAAACGAGAAGGAACGTGTGAGTCGTTTCTGGGGACACGACTCTACTTATACCCGTACTCAGTCAGTATATACAGCTTATGATTTTGTAGAATTTTGGAAAAAAAAAAAAAAATTTACATTTTAAATTTTTTTGCTACATCTGATATCTACATCTACATATACAATGTCTATTCTACATCTAACATGTAGATTGTACGTGTTCCATTTAGATTCTACATCTCCTCCGCTAGGGGTTGCTCGCGCACTGAACGCGGCAGAGTGTGCGAGCGAGAAGGAAAATGAGTTGCGTTGTCGTTGGAAGGAGTTGGCAGGGGAAGCAACTGAAAATTAATTTCGTCATTCTGGCTATAATTATGATATAGTTATGATATATAGTTATGATACGTGTGAGTCGCTTCTGGGGACGCGACTCTACTTATACCCGTACTCAGTCAGCATATACATGTTTCAGCATATTTTTTTTAGAATTTTAGAATTCAAAAAAAAAAATGTTACATTTTACATTTTTTTGCTACATCTGTTATCTACATCTACATATATTATGTATATTCTACATCCAACATGTAGATTGTACATGTTCCATTCATATTCTACATCTCCTCCGCTAGGGGTTGCTCGCGCACTGAACGCATTAATTTCTTCATTCTGGCTAAAATTATGATCCGATCTGATTCAGATTTGGCAATCTGGTAGATATGGTCATTCTCTACGGTACTGCGTTTATAGTTTTATCGTATCTTTAAAATTGTGCTTGCCACAGATTTTCGTCCTTTGTGCAGTGTGATACCAAAGACAATATAAGTATAAGATGCGTAACTTCATACGAAATTTCTGCACACGAATTTTTGATGCTGGCTCTAGAGCTGGTTCCAGGCTCTCTTGAAATTTTTTAGAGAGAGAGAGAGCGCTCTAGAGCCAGCCGCTCTCTTGTATGCATACAGCATACGAAGGCACACGAAGTTGGTTCTTTGCCGATGCGATAGCCGAGCCGAGTCGTCGCGACGACTGTATGT